TGATAGGTGATTGCACTTTGCCTGTCACACACATCTCGACAGAGCAACATTCGATATGAAAGTTTCCTCTGTCGAGAAACTTCCTCACACCTCAAGAGATGCGAAGAACTTTTGACAGGCAAAGTGCAATATTGATAGGTGATTGCACTTTGCCTGTCACACACATCTCGACAGAGGCAACATTCGATATGAAAGTTTCCTCTGTCGAGAAACTTCCTCACACCTCAAGAGATGCGAAGAACTTTTGACAGGCAAAGTGCAATATTGATAGGTGATTGCACTTTGCCTGTCACAACATCTCGACAGAGGCAACATTCGATATGAAAGTTCCTCTGTCGAGAAACTTCCTCACACCTCAAGAGATGCGAAGAACTTTTGACAGGCAAAGTGCAATATTGATAGGTGATTGCACTTTGCCTGTCACACAACATCTCGACAGAGGCAACATTCGATATGAAAGTTTCCTCTGTCGAGAAACTTCCTCACACCTCAAGAGATGCGAAGAACTTTTGACAGGCAAAGTGCAATATTGATAGTGATTGCACTTTGCCTGTCACACACATCTCGACAGAGGCAACATTCGATATGAAAGTTTCCTCTGTCGAGAAACTTCCTCACACCTCAAGAGATGCGAAGAACTTTTGACAGGCAAAGTGCAATATTGATAGGTGATTGCACTTTGCCTTCACATACATCTCGACAGAGGCAACATTCGATATGAAAGTTTCCTCTGTCGAGAAACTTCCTCACACCTCAAGAGATGCGAAGAACTTTTGACAGGCAAAGTGCAATATTGATAGGTGATTGCACTTTGCCTGTCACATACATCTCGACAGAGGCAACATTCGATATGAAAGTTTCCTCTGTCGAGAAACTTCCTCACACCTCAAGAGATGCGAAGAACTTTTGACAGCAAAGTGCAATATTGATAGGTGATTGCACTTTGCCTGTCACACACATCTCGACAGAGGCAACATTCGATATGAAAGTTTCCTCTGTCGAGAAACTTCCTCACACCTCAAGAGATGCGAAGAACTTTTGACAGGCAAAGTGCAATATTGATAGGTGATTGCACTTTGCCTGTCACATACATCTCGACAGAGGCAACATTCGATATGAAAGTTTCCTCTGTCGAGAAACTTCCTCACACCTCAAGAGATGCGAAGAACTTTTGACAGGCAAAGTGCAATATTGATAGGTGATTGCACTTTGCCTGTCACATACATCTCGACAGAGGCAACATTCGATATGAAAGTTTCCTCTGTCGAGAAACTTCCTCACACCTCAAGAGATGCGAAGAACTTTTGACAGGCAAAGTGCAATATTGATAGGTGATTGCACTTTGCCGTCACATACATCTCGACAGAGGCAACATTCGATATGAAAGTTTCCTCTGTCGAGAAACTTCCTCACACCTCAGAGATGCGAAGAACTTTTGACAGGCAAAGTGCAATATTGATAGGTGATTGCACTTTGCCTGTCACACACATCTCGACAGAGGCAACATTCGATATGAAAGTTTCCTCTGTCGAGAAACTTCCTCACACCTCAAGAGATGCGAAGAACTTTTGACAGGCAAAGTGCAATATTGATAGGTGATTGCACTTTGCCTGTCACATACATCTCGACAGAGGCAACATTCGATATGAAAGTTTCCTCTGTCGAGAAACTTCCTCACACCTCAAGAGATGCGGAAGACTTTTGACAGGCAAAGTGCAATATTGATAGGTGATTGCACTTGCCTGTCACATACATCTCGACAGAGGCAACATTCGATATGAAAGTTTCCTCTGTCGAGAAACTTCCTCACACCTCAAGAGATCGAAGAACTTTGACAGGTAAAGTGCAATATTAAGTGATATGCACTTTGACCATGTCAACACAATCTCGACAGAGCGATATGAAAGTTTCCTCTGTCGAGAAACTTCCTCACACCTCAAGAGATGCGAAGAACTTTTGACAGGCAAAGTGCAATATTGATAGGTGATTGCACTTTGCCTGTCACATACATCTCGACAGAGGCAACATTCGATATGAAAGTTTCCTCTGTCGAGAAACTTCCTCACACCTCAAGAGATGCGAAGAACTTTTGACAGGCAAAGTGCAATATTGATAGGTGATTGCACTTTGCCTGTCACATACATCTCGACAGAGGCAACATTCGATATGAAAGTTTCCTCTGTCGAGAAACTTCCTCACACCTCAAGAGATGCGAAAGAACTTTTGACAGGCAAAGTGCAATATTGATAGGTGATTGCACTTTGCCTGTCACATACATCTCGACAGAGGCAACATTCGATATGAAAGTTTCCTCTGTCGAGAAACTTCCTCACACCTCAAGAGATGCGAAGAACTTTTGACAGGCAAAGTGCAATATTGATAGGTGATTGCACTTTGCCTGTCACATACATCTCGACAGAGGCAACATTCGATATGAAAGTTTCCTCTGTCGAGAAACTTCCTCACACCTCAAGAGATGCGAAGAACTTTTGACAGGCAAAGTGCAATATTGATAGGTGATTGCACTTTGCCTGTCACATACATCTCGACAGAGGCAACATTCGATATGAAAGTTTCCTCTGTCGAGAAACTTCCTCACACCTCAAGAGATGCGAAGAACTTTTGACAGGCAAAGTGCAATATTGATAGGTGATTGCACTTTGCCTGTCACACACATCTCGACAGAGGCAACATTCGATATGAAAGTTTCCTCTGTCGAGAAACTTCCTCACACCTCAAGAGATGCGAAGAACTTTTGACAGGCAAAGTGCAATATTGATAGGTGATTGCACTTTGCCTGTACACACATACATCTCGACAGAGGCAACATTCGATTGAAAGTTTCCTCTGTCGAGAAACTTCCTCACACCTCAAGAGATGCGAAGAACTTTTGACAGGCAAAGTGCAATATTGATAGGTGATTGCACTTTGCCTGTCACATACATCTCGACAGAGGACATTCGATATGAAAGTTTCCTCTGTCGAGAAACTTCCTCACACCTCAAGAGATGCGAAGAACTTTTGACAGGCAAAGTGCAATATTGATAGGTGATTGCACTTTGCCTGTCACATACATCTCGACAGAGGCAACATTCGATATGAAAGTTTCCTCTGTCGAGAAACTTCCTCACACCTCAAGAGATGCGAAGAACTTTGACAGGCAAAGTGCAATATGATAGGTGATTGCACTTTGCCTGTCACATACATCTCGACAGAGCAACATTCGATATGAAAGTTTCCTCTGTCGAGAAACTTCCTCACACCTCAAGAGATGCGAAGAACTTTTGACAGGCAAAGTGCAATATTGATAGGTGATTGCACTTTGCCTGTCACATACATCTCGACAGAGGCAACATTCGATATGAAAGTTTCCTCTGTCGAGAAACTTCCTCACACCTCAAGAGATGCGAAGAACTTTTGACAGGCAAAGTGCAATATTGATAGGTGATTGCACTTTGCCTGTCACATACATCTCGACAGAGCAACATTCGATATGAAAGTTTCCTCTGTCGAGAAACTTCCTCACACCCTCAAGAGATGCGAAGAACTTTTGACAGGCAAAGTGCAATATTGATAGGTGATTGCACTTTGCCTGTCACATACATCTCGACAGAGGCAACATTCGATATGAAAGTTTCCTCTGTCGAGAAACTTCCTCACACCTCAAGAGATGCGAAGAACTTTGACAGGCAAAGTGCAATATTGATAGGTGATTGCACTTTGCCTGTCACATACATCTCGACAGAGGCAACATTCGATATGAAAGTTTCCTCTGTCGAGAAACTTCCTCACACCTCAAGAGATGCGAAGAACTTTTGACAGGCAAAGTGCAATATTGATAGGTGATTGCACTTTGCCTGTCACATACATCTCGACAGAGGCAACATTCGATATGAAAGTTTCCTCTGTCGAGAAACTTCCTCACACCTCAAGAGATGCGAAGAACTTTTGACAGGCAAAGTGCAATATTGATAGGTGATTGCACTTTGCCTGTCACATACATCTCGACAGAGGCAACATTCGATATGAAAGTTTCCTCTGTCGAGAAACTTCCTCACACCTCAAGAGATGCGAAGAACTTTTGACAGGCAAAGTGCAATATTGATAGGTGATTGCACTTTGCCTGTCACATACATCTCGACAGAGGCAACATTCGATATGAAAGTTTCCTCTGTCGAGAAACTTCCTCACACCTCAAGAGATGCGAAGAACTTTTGACAGGCAAAGTGCAATATTGATAGGTGATTGCACTTTGCCTGTCACATACATCTCGACAGAGGCAACATTCGATATGAAAGTTTCCTCTGTCGAGAAACTTCCTCACACCTCAAGAGATGCGAAGAACTTTTGACAGGCAAAGTGCAATATTGATAGGTGATTGCACTTTGCCTGTCACATACATCTCGACAGAGGCAACATTCGATATGAAAGTTTCCTCTGTCGAGAAACTTCCTCACACCTCAAGAGATGCGAAGAACTTTTGACAGGCAAAGTGCAATATTGATAGGTGATTGCACTTTGCCTGTCACATACATCTCGACAGAGGCAACATTCGATAATGAAAGTTTCCTCTGTCGAGAAACTTTCCTCACACCTCAAGAGATGCGAAGAACTTTTGACAGGCAAAGTGCAATATTGATAGGTGATTGCACTTTTGCCTGTCACACACATCTCGACAGAGGCAACATTCGATATGAAAGTTTCCTCTGTCGAGAAACTTCCTCACACTCAAGAGATGCGAAGAACTTTTGACAGGCAAAGTGCAATATTGATAGGTGATTGCACTTTGCCTGTCACATACATCTCGACAGAGGCAACATTCGATATGAAAGTTTCCTCTGTCGAGAAACTTCCTCACACCTCAAGAGATGCGAAGAACTTTTGACAGGCAAAGTGCAATATTGATAGGTGATTGCACTTTGCCTGTCACATACATCTCGACAGAGGCAACATCGATATGAAAGTTTCCTCTGTCGAGAAACTTCCTCACACCTCAAGAGATGCGAAGAACTTTTGACAGGCAAAGTGCAATATTGATAGGTGATTGCACTTTGCCTGTCACATACATCTCGACAGAGGCAACATTCGATATGAAAGTTTCCTCTGTCGAGAGAAACTTCCTCACACCTCAAGAGATGCGAAGAACTTTTGACAGGCAAAGTGCAATATTGATAGGTGATTGCACTTTGCCTGTCACATACATCTCGACAGAGGCAACATTCGATATGAAAGTTTCCTCTGTCGAGAAACTTCCTCACACCTCAAGAGATGCGAAGAACTTTTGACAGGCAAAGTGCAATATTGATAGGTGATTGCACTTTGCCTGTCACATACATCTCGACAGAGGCAACATTCGATATGAAAGTTTCCTCTGTCGAGAAACTTCCTCACACCTCAAGAGATGCGAAGAACTTTTGACAGGCAAAGTGCAATATTGATAGGTGATTGCACTTTGCCTGTCACACACATCTCGACAGAGGCAACATTCGATATGAAAGTTTCCTCTGTCGAGAAACTTCCTCACACCTCAAGAGATGCGAAGAACTTTTGACAGGCAAAAGTGCAATATTGATAGGTGATTGCACTTTGCCTGTCACATACATCTCGACAGAGGCAACATTCGATATGAAAGTTTCCTCTGTCGAGAAAACTTCCTCACACCTCAAGAGATGCGAAGAACTTTTTGACAGGCAAAGTGCAATATTGATAGGTGATTGCACTTTGCCTGTCACATAACATCTCGACAGAGGCAACATTCGATATGAAAGTTTCCTCTGTCGAGAAACTTCCTCACACCTCAAGAGATGCGAAAGAACTTTTGACAGGCAAAGTTGCAATATTGATAGGTGATTGCACTTTGCCTGTCACATACATCTCGACAGAGGCAACATTCGATATGAAAGTTTTCCTCTGTCGAGAAACTTCCTCACACCTCAAGAGATGCGAAGAATTTTGACAGGCAAAGTGCAATATTGATAGGTGATTGCACTTTGCCTGTCACCACATCTCGACAGAGGCAACATTCGATATGAAAGTTTCCTCTGTCGAGAAACTTCCTCACACCTCAAGAGATGCGAAGAACTTTTGACAGGCAAAGTGCAATATTGATAGGTGATTGCACTTTGCCTGTCACACACATCTCGACAGAGGCAACATTCGATATGAAAGTTTCCTCTGTCGAGAAACTTCCTCACACCTCAAGAGATGCGAAGAACTTTTGACAGGCAAAGTGCAATATTGATAGGTGATTGCACTTTGCCTGTCACACACATCTCGACAGAGGCAACATTCGATATGAAAGTTTCCTCTGTCGAGAAACTTCCTCACACCTCAAGAGATGCGAAGAACTTTTGACAGGCAAAGTGCAATATTGATAGGTGATTGCACTTTGCCTGTCACATACATCTCGACAGAGGCAACATTCGATATGAAAGTTTCCTCTGTCGAGAAACTTCCTCACACCTCAAGAGATGCGAAGAACTTTTGACAGGCAAAGTGCAATATTGATAGGTGATTGCACTTTGCCTGTCACATACATTCTCGACAGAGGCAACATTCGATATGAAAGTTTCCTCTGTCGAGAAACTTCCTCACACCTCAAGAGATGCGAAGAACTTTTTGACAGGCAAAGTGCAATATTGATAGGTTGATTGCACTTTGCCTGTCACACATCTCGACAGAGGCAACATTCGATATGAAAGTTTCCTCTGTCGAGAAACTTCCTCACACCTCAAGAGATGCGAAGAACTTTTGACAGGCAAAGTGCAATATTGATAGGTGATTGCACTTTGCCTGTCACATCACATCTCGACAGAGGCAACATTCGATATTGAAAGTTTCCTCTGTCGAGAAACTTCCTCACACCTCAAGAGATGCGAAGAACTTTTGACAGGCAAAGTGCAATATTGATAGGTGATTGCACTTTGCCTGTCACACACATCTCGACAGAGGCAACATTCGATATGAAAGTTTCCTCTGTCGAGAAACTTCCTCACACCTCAAGAGATGCGAAGAAACTTTTGACAGGCAAAGTTGCAATATTGATAGGTGATTGCACTTTTGCCTTGTCACATACATCTCGACAGAGGCAACATTCGATATGAAAGTTTCCTCTGTCGAGAAACTTCCTCACACCTCAAGAGATGCGAAGAACTTTTGACAGGCAAAGTGCAATATTGATAGGTGATTGCACTTTGCCTGTCACATACATCTCGACAGAGGCAACATTCGATATGAAAGTTTCCTCTGTCGAGAAACTTCCTCACACCTCAAGAGATGCGAAGAACTTTTGACAGGCAAAGTGCAATATTGATAGGTGATTGCACTTTGCCTGTCACATACATCTCGACAGAGGCAACATTCGATATGAAAGTTTCCTCTGTCGAGAAACTTCCTCACACCTCAAGAGATGCGAAGAACTTTTGACAGGCAAAGTGCAATATTGATAGGTGATTGCACTTTGCCTGTCACACACATCTCGACAGAGGCAACATTCGATATGAAAGTTTCCTCTGTCGAGAAACTTCCTCACACCTCAAGAGATGCGAAGAACTTTTGACAGGCAAAGTGCAATATTGATAGGTGATTGCACTTTGCCTGTCACACACATCTCGACAGAGGCAACATTCGATATGAAAGTTTCCTCTGTCGAGAAACTTCCTCACACCTCAAGAGATGCGAAGAACTTTTGACAGGCAAAGTGCAATATTGATAGGTGATTGCACTTTGCCTGTCACATACATCTCGACAGAGGCAACATTCGATATGAAAGTTTCCTCTGTCGAGAAACTTCCTCACACCTCAAGAGATGCGAAGAACTTTTGACAGGCAAAGTGCAATATTGATAGGTGATTGCACTTTGCCTGTCACATACATCTCGACAGAGGCAACATTCGATATGAAAGTTTCCTCTGTCGAGAAACTTCCTCACACCTCAAGAGATGCGAAGAACTTTTGACAGGCAAAGTGCAATATTGATAGGTGATTGCACTTTGCCTGTCACATACATCTCGACAGAGGCAACATTCGATATGAAAGTTTCCTCTGTCGAGAAACTTCCTCACACCTCAAGAGATGCGAAGAACTTTTGACAGGCAAAGTGCAATATTGATAGGTGATTGCACTTTGCCTGTCACATACATCTCGACAGAGGCAACATTCGATATGAAAGTTTCCTCTGTCGAGAAACTTCCTCACACCTCAAGAGATGCGAAGAACTTTTGACAGGCAAAGTGCAATATTGATAGGTGATTGCACTTTGCCTGTCACATACATCTCGACAGAGGCAACATTCGATATGAAAGTTTCCTCTGTCGAGAAACTTCCTCACACCTCAAGAGATGCGAAGAACTTTTGACAGGCAAAGTGCAATATTGATAGGTGATTGCACTTTGCCTGTCACATACATCTCGACAGAGGCAACATTCGATATGAAAGTTTCCTCTGTCGAGAAACTTCCTCACACCTCAAGAGATGCGAAGAACTTTTGACAGGCAAAGTGCAATATTGATAGGTGATTGCACTTTGCCTGTCACATACATCTCGACAGAGGCAACATTCGATATGAAAGTTTCCTCTGTCGAGAAACTTCCTCACACCTCAAGAGATGCGAAGAACTTTTGACAGGCAAAGTGCAATATTGATAGGTGATTGCACTTTGCCTGTCACATACATCTCGACAGAGGCAACATTCGATATGAAAGTTTCCTCTGTCGAGAAACTTCCTCACACCTCAAGAGATGCGAAGAACTTTTGACAGGCAAAGTGCAATATTGATAGGTGATTGCACTTTGCCTGTCACATACATCTCGACAGAGGCAACATTCGATATGAAAGTTTCCTCTGTCGAGAAACTTCCTCACACCTCAAGAGATGCGAAGAACTTTTGACAGGCAAAGTGCAATATTGATAGGTGATTGCACTTTGCCTGTCACATACATCTCGACAGAGGCAACATTCGATATGAAAGTTTCCTCTGTCGAGAAACTTCCTCACACCTCAAGAGATGCGAAGAACTTTTGACAGGCAAAGTGCAATATTGATAGGTGATTGCACTTTGCCTGTCACATCTCGACAGAGGCAACATTCGATATGAAAGTTTCCTCTGTCGAGAAACTTCCTCACACCTCAAGAGATGCGAAGAACTTTTGACAGGCAAAGTGCAATATTGATAGGTGATTGCACTTTGCCTGTCACACACATCTCGACAGAGGCAACATTCGATATGAAAGTTTCCTCTGTCGAGAAACTTCCTCACACCTCAAGAGATGCGAAGAACTTTTGACAGGCAAAGTGCAATATTGATAGGTGATTGCACTTTGCCTGTCACACATCTCGACAGAGGCAACATTCGATATGAAAGTTTCCTCTGTCGAGAAACTTCCTCACACCTCAAGAGATGCGAAGAACTTTTGACAGGCAAAGTGCAATATTGATAGGTGATTGCACTTTGCCTGTCACATACATCTCGACAGAGGCAACATTCGATATGAAAGTTTCCTCTGTCGAGAAACTTCCTCACACCTCAAGAGATGCGAAGAACTTTTGACAGGCAAAGTGCAATATTGATAGGTGATTGCACTTTGCCTGTCACATACATCTCGACAGAGGCAACATTCGATATGAAAGTTTCCTCTGTCGAGAAACTTCCTCACACCTCAAGAGATGCGAAGAACTTTTGACAGGCAAAGTGCAATATTGATAGGTGATTGCACTTTGCCTGTCACACATCTCGACAGAGGCAACATTCGATATGAAAGTTTCCTCTGTCGAGAAACTTCCTCACACCTCAAGAGATGCGAAGAACTTTTGACAGGCAAAGTGCAATATTGATAGGTGATTGCACTTTGCCTGTCACATACATCTCGACAGAGGCAACATTCGATATGAAAGTTTCCTCTGTCGAGAAACTTCCTCACACCTCAAGAGATGCGAAGAACTTTTGACAGGCAAAGTGCAATATTGATAGGTGATTGCACTTTGCCTGTCACATACATCTCGACAGAGGCAACATTCGATATGAAAGTTTCCTCTGTCGAGAAACTTCCTCACACCTCAAGAGATGCGAAGAACTTTTGACAGGCAAAGTGCAATATTGATAGGTGATTGCACTTTGCCTGTCACATACATCTCGACAGAGGCAACATTCGATATGAAAGTTTCCTCTGTCGAGAAACTTCCTCACACCTCAAGAGATGCGAAGAACTTTTGACAGGCAAAGTGCAATATTGATAGGTGATTGCACTTTGCCTGTCACATACATCTCGACAGAGGCAACATTCGATAT